ATCACACCAAATTGTTAACATTTTAGTAGAGAAGGTCTGCATAGCTGCGTCTCTGAGGCCCAGGTATGCTATATGTCATTATTTGATCTTTTCAATTTTGCCACATTCTTCGTTTAAATGGTTCATTTCCTGAACTGACTGCCAATTGAAATATATATTTTTGAAACCAGAGCTACCAACACACTTTTTTATTAAGACTAATATAAATTTTAAATGATATAATGGAGAGTGAACAGCAACACCCAAGTATTACAAATAAAGTATTTGTCCATACCTATTTGTTTGTCCAAACTCACATCTTCTCATGTACCCTAACCAACTATTTCTTCTTTTTAGCCAATAAAATCATTAGTATCTCCTCATTCATGACCCATAATCGCAGTCACAAACAACTCAGGTTGACCAGTACAGTAGTTTACCTCCCTTCGGGCCATAGACATAGACAGCCCATGTGAAAATATCCTTGCTTTAGCACAAACTTTGTTCCAACATGTGATGGTAGAGTATTTTTTTTTTATCATTTGCAATCATTTAGAATCAACTTGCTGATAGTCCAGCCATGGTATGAAATCTGAATACAAATGTCTGAATGCTGAATATTCAGTGTTTATTCATTAAGGCATAAAAAACCTTAATGGAAGTTTGGCTTGGCTCCCATGTACACTTAACTTGTTGCACATACTCAGAACTGCACATAAAATGTAGTCTGAAAGTCTGAGTGCACAACAAGAGCACATTTATTCCATCATTCATTTTCAAATGCTGTGTCTTGGGATGTTTTGCTTTATGCGAAACAGGAAAAGGGTATAAATATGCATTTGTTTTTTTTCATGTGTGAGATATCCATTTGGTGCTGCCTTGGTGATAAGTCGTCAAACTTGAGTCAGGTTGAGATGAAGGAGAATGAGAAGCAGAAGCTTTAAGCATTCTGTGGATTATTGAACTGATTCTGAAATTTCAGGTCAATCAAGGAGACTGAAAATGCAGCATACTTTTGCTTTGGGATCACATTACATGAATGGAATAAAAAGACAAGCTATAAAGCAGAATTTGTTTTTGTTTTTGTTTTTTAACAGCAACGTGTTCAGTGATGATGACAATTTAACAATTATTTTTGCTAAGAGTAATTGTTATTATGTAATTGTTCACTTATCAAGAGAAAAAAACACTTTGTTTTCAATGAACATTAAAAATGCATCTTAATTTGAAGAAGTTCATGCACTAGAAGTTCATCAACTTATTTTCATTAATTCATTAATTCTGCTGTTCATTGGTAAGTATTTTCCTCTTGCTCTCGCTACTGGACTTGAGGTCAGCATACATTCACTCTGGGTTCCTTTATACCTCTATGTTTGCATGCTGACCATTTTTTTCGTCACTAAAAACTGTAATCAGCTCTCTGCTCATCATACAAAAATTGAACCACCATTCTCTGCACTAGGGATGGGTATTGATAAGATTTTCACGATTCCGATTCCATTTTCGATTCTGTTTAACGATTCGATTCTTTATCGATTCTCTTATCGATTTTTTAAAAAAAAGGAGAACACTAAGTTCAATTAACTTAGAACTTCGTTTTATATCTTCTCTTTGAACAAGATAGAAATTTAGGAGTAACATGGCCTTACAAACCCAACAGTGAGATCTTAAGAGATCCACACTACGGCTCTTCAATGGGGTGTCACAGGGTCCCCAGGGAAAAAAATGTAAATGTAAAATAATAAAATAAATATTCTTCTGTAGCAATAACAAAGTATAACATAAATTATTCAGTAGCAATTACACAAGAATATCCAGTAATGTCCCTGCCTACAATTAAACACATTCACTTACCGAAAATTAGGGGCATCTGCTGTGGCAAATGGGTGCAAGGCTTTGACCACAAACTTAGTCACTGCTCGGTGACATTCGTCTATCCTGGCCTGAAAGCAGACGCTACCGGTAGACTGCAGCGAGAACTGCCAGCATCTGAGCCAGCCAGACTCTGTCTCTCTCATCATGGTCACCTAAATGCACAGTAATGGCAGGTTTAGTAATAAGGCAGATCGCGCTAACATAATATGCACTGTTAGTTGATTATTTACCTGCCGCATTAACGGGAGAGGACGTGCAAACGTTACCGCTGCTGCTGGGTTGAGATTCACGAGTCCGCAGCGGAATTAAAAACACGACATTCATTTAAGGTCATCGTGTGTTTTGTGAGCAAATGCTTTTGCATATTCGTAGTATTTCCTCCCTTAAATGAAATATCTACTTTGCAAGTATTGCAAGTTGCCCTGTTGTCATCCGTTCTCGTAAAGTATGACCAAACTTTTGAGCATTTGAGCCGCTTACGCGCCATGTTTCCTGCCAGGTAAATGAAGCTCCGCAACGTGGTGACGTCATTCAGGGCGACTGGAATCGATAAGGGAATCGTTTGCAAAAATGGCAAACAATCCCAAGGAATTGAAACAGTGGGAACCGGTTCTCAACAAGAACCGGTTTTCGATACCCATCCCTACTCTGCACCTGATTATAAAACATGCAAAAAAAGATTGCCTCTCTCTGAAAAACAAATTTGTATATCAATCAACTTTTTAATTCTCAGCTTGGTCCCTGACTCCCTGGTTACCATCCCTCTTTTGGCTACTGTCCACCCAATTATACTTGTTCCCCATTTTTAGTTTTATTTTAGTATTGTCTTCTATTCCACCTTCAAATTGTACGACCCTGTCAAGGTTCAGTTTCAAAATTGGCGTGTAGTGTTCGGCAGGGTTAGACCGTTAGTCTGGTATCTTCGGGTAGATCACTCTAGGATATATCACTATGGTAGCCTATGCTCCACATACAGTATAACCTGCTCCAACTTGCTCTGTGTTCAAGCTCCAGGCTGAAAACCATTACCATTTTCCACAAATGGGAATGCAGTGGTTTTCTTTCCCCAGACATAAGACAATACGCTCTATGTCTCATCAGTCCTCAAAACATTATTCCAAAAGCCTATCATTTCATTTTTAGCGGAAAACAGATGTGCACATATGCTCTTTTTTGGGACGCAGTGCTTTATTGTTGCTCAGTATTCTCACGATTATTGACACATGAACATTAGCAAATATGGGACAGGCTTGTAGTTCCTTGTGAACTCTTTCTGGAGTGACTTTTGATCGCTCATGAAGAGCAGATCAATAGTCTTGAATTTCCTTCATGTGTATACCCTGTCTAAGTGGAGTATTTATCAACTATGTGACCAGCCTTCTCCTTTTTTTCCATCATGGTATGAAGCGAAGATCAAATTTTATTAGAGCCTTCTTTCTTAAATAAAAATTGTTTCCTACGAACAGTTGTCACTAGTGCCATTGAAAACACCTAATTCTAATTTAACCAAACATACTGATAAATCTGGGATTCACTTATTATGGCCCTTTGCAAACGTGAAGTGTATAATTATTTTTCTTAGGTAAATGAACAAGTGTAATGGTTTCACATAATTTGATTAATTAGGTTCTCACATTTAACTTTTAGGACTTTAAAATATGATGTTTCAGGTCATATTTCTATTTAATCTTAAAAAACAAATGAGAAGGGAAAAGGCGAAAAATCATATGTCACAAAACATGGCTGGCTTGAAAGTATACATATCAGCTGATGTAGTAACTACAGCTTGTCACATATTACATCCAGCAGTTTATGAGAAAAAATCTACTTAAATACTGAAATTGCATCTCTCAATACTTATGCAAATACTAAAGCAAGTGTTTACACTTACACTCAAACTTGAGCAGTACTGTATCTACTTACAAGCTATGCTTGGCCACATAAGGGCCACATAAAATTGAATTAGAAAACCCACACAAAGAAATCTCTGGCTCTTTGAAGATAAATTCTAGTGTGAATGGTTATAGGGATTTATACACAAGCAGCTCAACTCTTAACCCCAGGTGATTTAACTTGCCTGTGCCCCTCAGTACAGGTGAAGTAATTGAGTAAATAGAAAGGCTATGAATATATTTCCATCTTATCTCCGCCCATAATTTTCTGTAGAAAGCTTACATCAGCAACTTGTGTTGGTCACAATGAAAACTGTATTGGCAGTGGGTCATGCTGTGTATGCACATCTCTGCCGGCCTTTCAAGATAAGAGTGATTATGAAGTGAAGGGTGGCATCGGATTTCTGCACCATCTTCTCTTCTCTTCTCTGCTCTAGTCTTTGATGAGACTGCGCGAATTTTCTGAAGGTTTCAAAAAGAAGCAGGGGGAAGCATTAAAGCCACTTGCCTATTCTTCTGTAGAATCACAATATGCAACCAAAAGACTTTTGGTCTCTTGAAGTATAGCAAGAAAAATAAGTTACAAGGGTAACTTTTTTGCACATCCAATGGATGCATGACCAGGCTAACATCTGGAGAACTGAAAGGACAAGCCAGCACTTCAGCAGCATGCCTGTAAACATACTGAAAAAGAATTACATGACTCATCAGACCACCCTCACTGTCTTTCGTTGACCTATGGTCTAGTCCTGATGTCCATCACAAGCACATTTAAGTGTGAAACAAAATGGTTTGCAGTATGCAGTTTTGGCACTCTTTTCCTTGGGCACCAATGTCCCCACTGTTGCTTCATCAGTTGATCTTCCTTGGACAAGTTTTGGAAGGTACTAACCATGAAAATTAGTAGCAGCCCCCAACAGGACTTGACCCATGTAAAGTCACCTTAAGTTACAATCCTTATCCATTTTTGCCCTCTAACACATCAACTTCAAGGAATTCTTACTTATGTGGCTGATATGTTTAATGACTGTCTGATGTAAATGATGAAATATGCTTGATATGGCCTCCTATTTACACAGTGTTGATCAGGGTGAACTATTTTGTTGTTGTGTTCAATCCTCCAAAGATGTCAGTATGTAACATTTTAATGCAGATATTTTTGCCGTTGTGTTTTTATGCCTGAGGGTGAAAACACATATTCTGTGTTTTTCTTCCTTTTTATTATACCTGTCTGTTTTTCCATTTTTGTTCTAGATGGGAAATGCCTCCGAAACATTTCTGTTCATGTCTAAAATATCAAAAGACAATGACTTCATCATGGGAACGCTCTACACCATTTTTGGTGAGTGATTTATCCCCCCAAGGTCAATCCTTTTAATGTGGACTCAAATTCTTCAGCTCTTTACATTATATAGCTCTGTGTCCTAGGTGTGCTGTCGGTGCTTGGAAATGGCATCCTGCTGTTCGTGGCCTATAGAAAGAAGTCCTCCTTAAAGCCAGCAGAGTTCTTTGTGGTAAACCTGTCCATCAGTGACCTGAGCATGACCGTAACCTTGTTTCCATTTGCAATACCTTCAACCTACACACACATGTGAGTGACAATTCAGGTTTTCAATTTTTTTTTCAAATTTCATCTAGTCCTCTTTTATGTCATCTTCACATTTTTATCTTCATGAGAGACAAGGATAGAAGGAAAAAGACAGATGAAGAGTGAGGTTAGAGGAGTGGTTTGAAAGGCAAGGCTGTAGCTGCCGACGAAAACCAGGGCTTTAACAGCCTGAGCAGTAGTTTACGACATGCATTAAAAGACAAATTAAGGTTTTGTAAGCAGATGCTTGCAGACATAAATTCATCATATTTGATTGTTTGTGGATACGACAGATAAAATACAAATAAATGCCTTTTTAAAGGATTTTGTGATTTTTCCATTTGTATAAAATGGAGGTGGAAATATACTATCATGCTAGATTTGCAACACATTAATGGTATATCTGATATTGTCACTTCAGCAATCAAAATTTGAAAAAACCCTCCACATTTATGAAAATGTTGATATTCTAATTTTGAGATCATTTTTGCTTGTAATTCTTGCTGTGTGCTCATAGCATAGACCTTGGGAAGAAGCAGTAAGTGATTTCTGACTTTTTGGCCAGAGTTTTGCCTCTGAGGCTTTACAAGGTTGTTGAGCCCAACTGCAGCCTGAAAAGATGACTACAGATGCTACTCAAGGTTGGAAAAAATGCTGAAAAAGACACAAGTAGCATAGCAAGGCCCTGTGTAGTGCAGATGAAAAGCCAGAATTTTCAGTTTAACTCTGTGTGAAGTTTCCAGGTGTATGATTTTAAGTAGTATTTGTGCAAAAAACAATAAACAATGCAAATGTCTTTTTAACTCCACTGTCATTGAGCTTTGGACAATAACATGTTTCCTATTTTTGTAATATTTTCTGTGTGTTGCACTGATAAAAATGTTTTAGATAATATGGAAAGCATTTATGTCTCCTTTGTTCATGCATCCTACATAATACCTTTGTCTGTCTTCTGTCTCTTCCTATGATTGTCTGCCTGCTGTCTTATTCTCTGACCATTTGCTGCTGATAGCTGTCATATGCTCCATTATTGGGTCAGAGTGCTTCACCGCATGCTACAGTTGAATATGATCCAGGAGACCAGAAAATGTATTGCAGTCTCATTGACTGAAATTCACCAAAGGGAATTTGCAGGCAAACTCTCACTTAATATCACACAGTAACACATGTTCTGTTTTCTTTCTCTCTCCATTCAGGTGGTTGTTTAATGAGACAGCCTGTACTGTGTATGCCTTTTGTGGTGTTTTGTTTGGCCTGTGCAGTCTGACCAACCTAACGGTGCTCTCCTGTGTCTGCTGGCTCAAGGTCTGCTGTCCTAACTACGGTAACAACACCAGTTTTTAATGCTTTACTTTGCAATTCAGCATAAAGTTATTATCGTAATAGTGAAACAATGCACTATTTTAACACTAAGGAATTTAGTGACCCGCGAGAATGACCCAAACTGAGGCAATGAAGAAAATCAAAGACATGGTTGTTTAGGGTTATTGTGAAACCAGTGAAATAAGATTCTGTGTGATCTCAGTGAGTTTGCTTGAAATGTAATTCCATTATTGGTTGTTTTCCATGGATGATCTACAGAAACCTTTTAGCAAGTTTTCAGGTGTTTTCCATTTAACATTTTTTCATTCTGCAACTCATTTTGAATCACAACCAAACTTATGCTCACTCACTCACATGAACTACTTTGCTGTGTCAAACTGTTTCTCTATGGGAGTTCTCAGGATGCAGTTGGCATAAGATGCAAGTGTCCCTGCCTCTTTCCAGTAACACTTCACAATAATTATTTCATGATGCTTTATATTGTAACTAAAGACTCTACAGTATTATTCCAAGGCCCCCTAACAATCCAACTATCCCGGCAGCCACTTGGCAGCAGTGGGAATGAAGAACTCATTTTAACAGGAAGAGACCTCTGGCAGACCCAGACTCAGGGAGGGAGAGCAATCTGCTGTAGCCATTGGGGAGTATGAGAAGAAGAGAGAAAGAAAAGCATAGAGAGACAACATACACTACCAACACGTACACATTGCAGTGCATCAAGTAATATTCTTTTGTTAGACGCAGATAACATCACAAACAAACCCAGAAGGTGTTTTGTTTTGTTCTTTTTTGTTGTCGTTGTTGCTTTTTAAGTGGCTGCCAAAGCAGCAGCATTATTGGATGTTACTAGAAAAAGTCTGCATTGAGAGGAGTGGTGGTGGAGTATGCTAGTTTCTTGTTTATACTCCTTTTGGATATTTGAGTTTGAAGCTTTGGCTTTGTTTTAACCCTTTTATTTGTTTCATTTGTGGCTATTTTTTATTCTCACCTGACTCACTGGTGCCTCACATCAAGACAGTCCTGAGTTCAATTCCACCATCAGGCTAGGGCCTTTCTTTGTGGAGTTTGCATGTGCATCTCCCTGTGCTTGTGTGGGTTCTCTCTGGCTTCTCTCACAGTCCAAAGACATCCAATTATTGGGGTCAACTGGTAAATCTAAATTGCTCACAGGTGTGAATGTGAGCAATCTACTGTTAGGTCTGTGACAGACTGGAAACCTGTCCAGGCCCAGGGTGCCTCTTCTCCTAAGACAGCTGGGATAGGCTCCAGCCCTGAATTTGATTGAGTGGAAGAATGAATGGATGGACTTAACTCATTGGTTAGGTTGTGTTGTATAGAGTATTTCCTTGGGCGAAGATAGAGAAAATAGGCTTTGGCACTGGAAATTACCTCAATGCGTGTTTAACCCTTCCATTAAAATGATATGCAGGAGTCTATTACAAGCATGTGAGTGAGAGGTTTGTCTCACTGCTGCCTAGACTGTGCACATAAGGCGCTGACAAAAAAAATGACACGTGGCGCATATCTGTGAGATGCTACCAAATTGACACAACATCAGTGTTTCATGCCCTTGGAATGAGACCTAACTGATGCATCTCTCTTTTTTCCCTGTTTCATTCCTGCACATTTAACAGATATTTCTTCTTTCTTCATTGAATGACATGATTCAATACTTTGTTCCATTCTTGTTACAGTTTAGGATGAACAAGTCATATCTGATATCCACATTAGGCCTCTTAGCTAGCCTTACCTTATTTATTTGACTTGGTCAAGGAATCAAAGGGCTGGCTGTATGATGCTTCCAGTGTAGATATAGCTTAATTCCAGCGTAGCTCTAAGAAGACCAAAAAAAATTACTGTTGCAGAAGGGTTTTTTTCTTATTCTGTATCATACATCCCCAAAGGTTCTGTGTGATATATGTACAGTATATATATGTACAGTATATATAGTAGAGTAATTTTTTTCAATATATACCAATAGACTCTTAGATCATCTGCTCTCAGTGTTATTGCTATGCGAAGCTTCACTAATCATACTTCTACTCACCTTCTTTTATTTGTGGGTTTGCATCCATAGTCTAAAAGTTTTAGATAAAATTCCCATTGAGTTCAGATAGAATAATGAGATTTTTTCCAGTCACAACTAAAAGGGTTCAGCTATTTGCTAATTAGCAGCAGTAAAAGAGTAAAAGTAGACTGATTATTGAAAAAAAGACCAGATTTAGAAATGCTGAAGTTTTGAAATTAAATTCTAAAAAGAGGGACAGAATTAGGGAAGAGAAACATTTATTGCAACATTCATGTTTGTGTAGCTGGACAGTATAAACCAGTTAAAATTTCATTGTGTCATATATATTAATTATTCACAGTTAGCATTTTGTTTTTAATCCTGGATTTTACCTCTTTAGTTCTCACCATCATGCTGGCGTTTGTACTGCTACAAATCTGATGGTAATATGGTGCCCTTTCCTCTTGAATCCATAGAAACCAAGGGTTTTATGGGACACTATAAACTGAGGGAAATTCTGCTGCTGCACTCCTCCACAAAATGTTAAAAAGCACAGTTACGTTTTGTGGGCTCTGAGAATTTGTTGTTCTACACAGTTGTCTATGACTAAGCCAAACCAGCACAAATAGCTGATTCTGGGTCAGTGTAACATTTCAATACACCGTTAGCACATCCAAAAAGCACTGAAATCATGGTTGATAAAGGTTAATTTTCAAGACTTATCATTTACTTGTATGTGCTTCATTAAACCATTCTTTTCTTTAATATTTGAAACTTTGATAATCCGAAGCAGCACTTGACTATAATTCATAATTTATAATTCATAAATCATAATTTAAAAAAACACTGAATATGCAGGCATAAATTAATTGATAACCTGTAATTTAGTTTTAATTAGGAACCCGTATTACTATCCTCACTCGATGAATGGGTGTGCTGATTAAGTGCCAGATTTAAGCAATATTCTCATTTATATCCTTTGCACACTTGCCCATACACACTGCAGGGATCACAGAACTGGGGGCTGCATCGATCATCTTTATAGTCCACTAAGTAAAACCCTGCCTAACAGGCATGTTCTAGTACTTTAATATAATAGAAAAGCAGGTCAAGCTATTCAAGAAACAAAATCAAAACAAATGGAAAAAAGAGCACAGAGAGCACAAAACTAATGTAGTGCTGCAGGATGAGTTATGAGATGCAGGTGGAGATTATATACATCTAATGAAAAGTGTCCACTTACAGTATATGATGCAGATATTTCAGGATTTGTCCTAACTTTGGCTAATAGGCACATTATAATTGAAGGCTGTGTTATGAAATAGCTCCTCTTGTCTGTTTTTCAGTGGCGCGCAGTCTATAATGCAGAGAATAAAAGCCAAGAGACTACAAGCTTCACAAGCAAATGTGTTTGAAATGCAAATGAGCACAAATAATTACACTGTCATATATTTTTTCCTGCAAGAAACTTTGTTCAAACGTGTTGTTTTCTTGCTTTTATACACTGTTACACAGCCCTGCTCCAAACAAGCACACAAACAAAACAATGTGGATGTTTGGATCCAGACAATAATTGCAAACATGCAGTGACAGGAGTTTCACACCAACTTATCCCATCTGCTAGCAGAAGGTTAGACCAAGAATAAGTGTAATTTATTGACTCAGAGCAAGCCTCCAACATATTTGCGCCTCAGAAATCCTTGGTCTCACGCTACTTTATGTAAGAATGATTCTAATAGCTTCCAGTGGGCTAGACTATAAAAGGGAGAGTTGAGGACTTTCTTAGAAATAATAATTCCTTCATGTGCCACGTGGATAGCTGGAGTTCTGATTGGGAAAGGGGTGGCCAAAATCAGATAAAAGCCAACTGTAATTGCTGACACAGTTGAGTGAGTGCCTTGGGGCAAAATGAACCCCCACCATCAGCTTGAACCATAAAAAAGGGCTGGCATCCTGCTGAAGGGGCTGTGTGGTGTCATGAGTAAGGTTTCCTCTGTTCTCATCTTCACTTCACTCACAACAACTTTAGAAGAGTGTTGCCAGTAGTGATGTGCGAATCGATACTGAAATATCGATTCCTCCGATACCAGTCATTTATGTTCTAGAATCGATTCTCATATTAAAATATCGATATTTTGGTAATTTAGGGTAAATTTGTAGTTTATCTTTAACAGGAACACAGTGGAAAGAAACTATATAATTGTCTACTTTTGAAGGAACTACTTCATGTTCCGCCTTTCATAGTCATGTGTGAAATACGGCTGTATAAATGAGTCCCTTGGCGTGCGCACTCACAACAATGACTGAGCGTAAATGGAGTCATGCATGGATGTATTTTACCTCCACAAACAGCCGAGGCGTGGTTTGCGATACATGTGGCAAGACAGTGAGGTGTTGTGGCAACACCACTAACCTCATCAAACACCTCACAGTAAATCATATCACGGAATATGACGAGTGTATGTTGAGGCGAACTGAAGAGCAGGAGAGGGACAGGTGGTGCTAGGGCGAGACAGACGTCTCTCACGGAGTCCTTTAGTGCTGCAGGCAACGTTTTCAAATAGGCACAACTTCAGTTTTTTTATTTCTATATGATAATTCTGCATTATTAAGCAATAAAAACAAGTAGTCTGATGTCCCGTAATCATTGTGAAGCTATAATTTGAGATACAGTAAAAGATACAATAAATAAAATATGTTTTTGTACAAAGTATCGGTATCGGATCAGTATCGTTGATACCACCCTGAATTTTACTTGGTATCGGATCGGAAAGGAAATCAGTGGTATCGCACATCACTAGTTGCCAGGGTTGTTTTGGCATTTTTTTCTGAGCCCCTTATTTGCTGGATAAGTGCAGTACTACTTGTAGTATGTTAATAAATCACAGTGTATCTTAAATGGAGCCTACTATATCTTCTTTATGTCCTTATCTGTCAATAATCAATTCTAAAACTCTTTTCTCTTGTCCTCCCTCTGCCTTCTCACACTCGTCTTTAGGTAACAAGTTTTCATATGTCCATGCATGCCTGCTGGTTGCAGGCATCTGGTGCTACGCTGCAGTCTTTGCTGTCGGTCCCCTGTCGGGCTGGGGAGAGTACGGGCCTGAGCCTTATGGTACAGCATGCTGCATCAACTGGCATGCGCCGAACTATAATTCTGCAGCTATGAGCTACATCATCTGTCTCTTCTTCTTCTGCTATATTTTGCCCTGCACTATAATTTTTCTTTCCTACACATTCATCCTGCTGACTGTCCGTGGCTCACACCAGGCTGTGCAGCAGCATATGTCCCCACAGAACAAGATCACCAATGCACAAGCACTTATCGTTAAGGTACGTGCATTATTTTCTTTTCAAATGACTTATACTAAATATTATTTCCTTCATGAATTCATGTTTGCATTGCATGTTATTTGCTGTGTTCTGTCTATTTTTTAGCTTTCAGTGGCAGTTTGCATCGGTTTCCTGACAGCATGGAGTCCATATGCTATTGTGTCTATGTGGGCAGCGTTTGGTAACTCAACAACTGTACCACCTATAGCTTTTGCTGTGGCAGCTATCTTTGCCAAGTCCTCCACCCTTTACAACCCTATCGTCTACCTGGCTTTCAAGCCCAATTTTCGCAAGTCCTTGTGTCGAGATGTGGCGAATTGCAGAAGGAGACTCTGTGGATGTTTGTGCCAGGGTGGCTCTGCAGAGAAGGGAATTTGCAGGCAGTCCCATCACAAAGAAGAATGCAACTCTACAAGGTTATCCAATGGGTTACCAGAGAACCACAGGACCTGCAGACACTGTCCTTGCCCAGAAACAGACAACGGTAATAGAGAAAATTGTATAGACTACAGTCTTCAGCAAACCGCCAGGATTCTTCAAGGATCCGTACACAGTGAAGTGGCTGTCAGCCAGCTCTCCAATGAGATGCAGAGTGACTTTCTCTAGAGGAACAAGTGGAAAATGAAGTATGAAGCAAAAAGTGGCACGAATGAAGCCCAAATAACAGTAAGTGCAAGTTGGGGGAAAAGTGAAAATGCAATCAAACAAACAAAAATGGTAAGACTGATTTAAAAGAAAAAAAAGTTTAAAACTACTTTCATGCCTCAAATATGTGATACTGCCAAAAAGAAATCTGTGGTTAAAAGCCAATACAGGAGGATAAGCAAGCCAAACATTTCACTGGTGTGTGCATCAGCATTTTATCAGGTCAAATGAACAAGTGTCAGCAACTATGTGATCAGTTCAAGTGTAAACCAAGACTGAAGAGTCACCATGCAAGTCATTTTACGCTGGGCTTGGAGGGAGGAACTGATGATGAAACTTCCTACTCCCTGAACCACATTTTATCTGTTTATTATGAGTACTGTATTTAAATATTATGTATTTATGTATGCCTCAAATTGAAGGACCACAGGGTTATTGTTGTTGTTGTTGTTGTCTTTGTTGTTGTATCTAAAATGAAAAGAGTGCTTTCACCTCATTGTCGAGGAGAAATCAAAACCTCTACTCCTATAGTTAAAGCAGACACTTTGGGTGTTAATACAAAGCACTTAGGGAAAGATTTGGCTTGGTGAGCCACCTTTTTGTCCAGAAGGTACATCTGCAAGGAGGAGATGTTGTCTTCTATTTCCATTTTTCCTAGTCACCTCTTTCCAGGCAAGAAGATTTTGATGGAGTGGAGAGTGTCAGCTGTTTAGGCATTTCAGCCATTTTTTATAATAAGCTCTTTTTCAGTGACTCAAAAGTAATTGGACTAACTAACATAATTTTATTGTTTTCAATACTTCGATGAAAATACGCTGCAGTCAATCATTGGCTGAAATCTAGAACATGGACGTCACCAGGTTGTTGATTTCACCGGTCCTAATGTTTTTTCTGATATGTCCGTGTAGGTTCTCAGTAATCCAGGTCATGGTAGTCTAAGGAGATTGGGAAGTAAGCAACTGGACTTCTTTGTGAAGGTCTTTCACCTGTCATCCAAGCCGCTCCTTCAGTTCTGAAGTTCAGAACTGAAGAGGTGAAAAGTCTTCATGCAACATCTTCACAAAACTTAAAGAAGTTCAGCCACTTTCTTTCCAAGCTCCTTAGACTATCTCTCTGATAGATTTTATATGACTTTTTAGGCTAATCTACAATGAAAATATCAACATTTAGAGTGAACAGCTACCAAAAAGCATGTTCAGCAATTAACTCCAATTCTTTCATCAATTTTAATTTGTCGTAGAGTAACGATGGAACAGGTCTCATCTGAGCATGAAACCTTTTGACAGTAAATCGTCCAGTTATATTTGAGCCTCTAAAATTGAGGGACATATAAAGTTGAAAAAAATAAAATAAAATACAATACAATAAAAATGACTGTAATTTCTGAACTTAAACTTTAGGTTATTGCAGTTACTTTTGTTAAACTTCTTGTCTGATTTAAAACTCACCGTGATGGTGTGCAGAGGCAAAATTGCCAAAAAAAAGAAAACACTGTCCAAATACTTATGGACACTACCTGTTTGTGATCAGAACTACATTGAACTCTGTCAGTGATTCTGTTTGGGTGGTTTTAGCAGTTTCTGAAGACCAGTTTAAAAGAGCAAAAAGAAATTTCTTTGTGCAGAATTTCTGCTGCAATCTTTTATGACATTAACTGTGGAAAAGACTCATTAAAAGGCTGATTGATGATTTATTTATCTTGAATTCCAAGCCTGGGATTATAAGGTTGCCTTTGGTGGCAGAGCTGGGTCATATTTTCATTCTTTTCAAAAGGAAGAAGAAAAAATAAATAAATAAAATGAAAAAAAAAACAACAACAAAAAACACCTGCAGCATTTAGAACTTAAAAGCTTATTTTTCATATTTTGGGTTAGGGTTTTTTTTCATGTCACAGAAGCATCTCTACAATGTAGCCCAACTAGCCAAGGAAAAAGTGAGATGGTTATGTGGTTTAAAACAAGCACTTTAGGAAAACAAACTTTTTCATTATCTTTGGTTGCCTTAAGGCTTGGAAAGAGGCTTTAATTAGAGTACTAAAAAATTTTGTCCTGTTCCAAATTTCCGCAAATAAACAAGTTAGTGTGTTATTATTACTAGCTTCACTGAGCACCAAACCTATGAGACTAAGACCCAAAATTGTAATAAAGCTGAGGGATCTTTTAATCAGAGCCATTTTAACAAAATGGGAGAAAAAAGCCTGCCTGTGGATAGAACGCTTGCATTTAGTGCTTCTTTTGCTTGTTTTTGATGTGAGAGACACAAGGCTTCGCCTCAGCACCCATCAACATTATTTTAATAAAAAAACAAAAATTAAAAAAAGCATAGTGAGGATGGATGAGGTTAACTGAAATGTTTGTCCAACAAGCAATTTTATACCCCCTCCTTCCCGACAGCATAGGCCATCAACTCAAAAGTACAAAACGACCTGCCATGGGCAAAATTAATTAGATGTGCTGGAGTGCAACTTGTGATTAACTGGCATGACTTTGATACCACGATTCCTTTCTTACAGAAAGGCTGAGACCGAAGACTGCAGTTCTGTGCAGTTTACACACAAGCGCGCACACACACACACACAAAAACTACAAAAGCATTTCAGATTTTCTGCTTTCACGTTCAGTTTGGCATGGAATAATTAGCTTAAAGTCATGCAAAACAACCAGGTCAGCATATGTGGTGCATTCTGCTGTTTGCTACAATAACTCCTCTAGCCTCAGTCGGGACAGTTTATGGAGAAATGGATTCAAAATTACTAATACCACCTGAACTATAATACTCCACATGGGCTTTTCACAAGACACTTAGCCCTGGGCTTAGACGCTTGTTAGCTCAAGGCTTATTTCTCAGTTGTGAACTTAAGTTGTGTTCAGGCTGACATTAGCATTGCTCAGTTTGCTGAGGCTAGAACACTGATACGTGGGAGATTCAGCAGAATTATGTACTTCTCTTTTTGGTGTTGTGCATGTAAAACTTTGTGGTGAGGTCTATTGAATATGAAAATGAATATGCACAGCCGCACACAATATTATTCAAATGTGGACGATGCCGAAAACAGCAGCTGCACAGTATTTCCTCACTTGCTCCGGCACTGTGCACAGGCAGTAAACTGTATAACCTTGGACAAGCCAGGAAAGAAAAGGAGGGGGAAGTCCAATTTATTTTAAGCAGCTTTAATAAAATTGTCCCAAAAAACACTGCCAAACTTATTAACTATTTCAAAATCCAGGAATTTTTTAAAATATTAGCAGAATTCTTTCTGAAACACGTATGAGCACTGTGAATCCAGGGAGTTTGAATAAATTAAAGTAAGTCATACTTACTTATATATGTCACAGATATGAACGAGTGCCAGATTCTCCACCTTTAAAGAAATTACTTCTGCAAAGAAAAGACACAAGTTAGGGCAGAATAGTGATTAAATGTGATAACTCATTAGATACTCATTAAATATGTGACAGCAATGCAGAATATGAGAGAGGTAGGTTGCAGAAGCATGTCTCATAGTGTTGTAATTCTAACTTTTGTCTCGGTGTTAGGAATTACTTCACAGTTTTTTGCCATCTGATGGGACTCATCTATTACTTAAACCAGCTTTGCATGAATATGTTACTCAATCAGATCCACTACTGACTTTATGATTAGTTTAGTTTTATTTATTAGTTAGTCACATCTTATTAGTTTATTGAATATATAATTTCCTACAATATTCATTAACTACAATGTCATTAAGATAAGGGAAGGCCATAAGTATGATTGTATCCATTTTGGTTATGCGATTAATCAAAGCTAATAAGGTCAACACTTTCTGCATCGCATAAAAACTCTCTCCCACACCGACACTAAAGATCAGTCAGGAGGTACTTTAATGCGATATGATGCTAGGTTGGTGCGTCTTCATCCTCATGCAATACACCACCAACAGTGCAGCCTTTTGCGTTTTCTACTGCAGTGCTGTTTCCTGGCTGAACACCAAATGACAGCTGCTTCAGTCTCTAAAGTGGGATAACCCCAGGCAACCTTCAGCTCAGAGTTTACAAAGCCCAGATCTGTAGTATTTGCTGTGATATAACTCTGATTGTTCTTAAAACTATTTTGTGAGGTTTCACGAGAATAAAAGCAATGGAAAATCTCAAGTCTGGCCATATTAAAAGAGTTATACACGTCAAGTGTTGTGAAGTTCAAGTTTGAGAATCTTTTGAACCTGGAGCTAACTGTGAAATGAGATGAGGAAAGCCTCGGGCCGTCTGGAGCTCGAGTTTATTTCAGCTGACTCATGTACATGTGAAAACTTGCTCCCTTTGCAAAGACAACAACAGGCTCTCCACGGACTCATAGAGTCAGTTTTTTATTTTTTATGAGGATGTTGTAGACAACATTATCTTCAGCTTTTCATTTATATATCAAAGATTTCCTGGATGTTCAGGGTAAGCAGCTCATTGCTGTTTCTTGCTCCACAACCTCCAGGTTGGAAAAAAAGTGACACAAAGCCTTTGAACTGTGTGCAGGATGGTATGGTAAACATTTCCTAGAAAGAAACAAATGATTGTACTTATTTTTCTGTTATGTGACTAATGATGGTGGTTTCATAGTAACTATAACATTTTAAACATGAGAAAAGTAGTATAAAAACTGAAGTGTGTGAAGTTTCTGCTTGTCATGCTGCAACCAAAGGTTACAGTCACCTTTACACTAACTGTCAAAGCCAAAAAAATACTGTCTTGGACTGTCATATTTTTCTACCAATATCCAGGTTAACATAATAAAAAAGAAAAGAAAATGAAAAACAACATATCAAAGACTCGGCTTCAAGTCCAGTGCTTGATAGGCTCTGTTTTGCCCACAGTCTTTGGGCAAAAAAAGGACATTCAAAACAGAAACATAACTGTGAAAATCTGATTCTGATGTCTATTTTTTCTATTCTGTTCTACTCTATGAACAAATATTGCAAGTACCTAGGTGTGCAGTCTGTACTACTAGCCATTCACCTGGGTAATCTACACTGACTTTACTCCTTCAAATAATATTGCATTGTATATATCTGACGTCAGGGATTTCATGTCGATTGTTTGCATGGATGAAGATAATACGT